GGCCAGGGCCCAAAAGTCACCTCTCAATCTTTAGACATTAATGTTGGGCTGGCTGTAAAACCTAGTATGGACTTAACCCCTGCACCTTTGATGTCTCTATCTCCTGATCTTTGGGAACTCAACTACATTCTAAAGCCTCCAATTTCCTTCACCTTAAACAAAAGAACACACATGGAAACAAAGAACTGAGGCTCTTATTAATGGGATATATATCAGCCTTGAATAGAGAGGGAGATGCCATCAGACCAGAAGAAGCTACCTGAGGCAAAGTCAGAATAAGAAAAGGGAAGAGGACAACTAGTACTTTATAAATGTCTCCTATTTCTGGGTGCAATGGGCAGCTCCATGATGTAGTGGATAAAGCACCCTGGAGTCAGGAAGATTCATCTTCCTGAGTTCAAATCTAGCTTCAGACACTTCCTAGCTATATGACCCTGGGCAAGGCACTTCACCCTGTTTGCCTCAGTTTCCTCACCTGCAAAATGAGCTGGAGAAGAAAATGGCAAACCACTCCAGTATCTTTGCCTAGAAAACCTCAAATGAGGAAACCAAGAGTCAGACATAACTGAAATGACCGAACAACAACAAAAAAATTTCTGGCTACACAGATGCAGCCAATCAATGATGCTTCTATTCACCATGTAGTTAACAGACCATATCAGGTTATTGAGCATTAGAACATGCTTCAAATCTCTCCAAGGTATTCCTATTATATGTCATCACCACCATCCTGGAATCAGGCTCCCAATGCCCTTTGCATCAACAGCATTCTGTGTATGACCATATGGACTGGGCTCAGTGGCCAGTCCCACATTACATCTAAGAATGTTCTATCTCCTCACTTCTGCCTCTAAAAATTCGTGCTTTCTTTCAAAATGGCTCAAAAGCTACCTTCTATAAGAGACCTTTCTCAGCATCCCTCCCTTCCATCAGTAAGGGTTGTCTTCCATCCACTTTATGTGTTTCTTGTATGTTTGTTATAGTATTGGTACCAGTGGGTTTAAATCCAAATGTGGCATCCTGTTAAATAAGCTCCCATCTCAGTTCCACCTAATTCTGTGCTTTCCCCACCTCATCACCTTTTGACCTCAGCATTATATAATTTTTCATGATTCATTTATGACTTTTGCATAATTTAACTTTCAGTCCAAGGCTTCTCCTTAATGTCAAATAATTCATGCATGAACAAGAACAGAAATCCAAGTTCCTATTAGGCAGCTCAATATAGCAGATGGGAATTCTTCTTTCAATAAAGTGATAAATCCAAACTCAGGAGTGGGAGCAGTTCATTCCTGGCTCTTGACTAAGGATTATTAGAGGAGGAAGTGAAGCTCAGCTGCTAAATATATAAGAGGCTTTTGATCACCTGGCATGTGGAGAGGTGGCCTGTGAAGGTGATGGCCAACCGGAGCTCAGCATATTCCTATCCTGGAACAGAAAATGGAGAAGAGGCCAAGTTAAGCCATCAGCCATTATCCCTGTACACACTCTCAACCCTCCCTGTGAAAATTAAATGGGATGAGAATTCTCATTTTTATTTACTGGGGCCTTCAAATCACCAAATCTCTGAATTTTTGTATTGGGAACATCCTTGGAGGCCCTTGGCCCAATGGACTTTGAAACACAAGAATGCACTCTGCAGTGGCCTTGGACAAATGATCACCCAGCCTTTGCCAGAAGATCTGCAGTGATGTGGGGAGCTTGTTATCCTCTGATTGCCCTCCCCCCACTTTGGGATAGTTTCAATTATTAGGAAGTTTTTCATCATGTGGAGTATGAATCTTCCTCCTTGCACCTACTACCCATGCTTCTAATTTTGCCCTCAGGAGCCGAGCCAAGCCAAGCAAATCCAGTCTTTTTCCACAGGACAACTCTTCAAATCCATGAAGACATATATCACGCCTTCTTTAACTCTTATTTCAGACTTCCTAGGCTTGTTCAACTGACTTCTTTCACTTTGACTGCCGTCTTCCTTGGCTTTGTGGAAAATGGCCATAGTTGTTTCGTCTGAAGGCCAATCAGCCATTTTCTGAAAAGACTTCTCATTGGTCTCTGGGCTGCCATTCTTTTCCCTCTCTAATCTATTTTTCACAGCTGCCAAAATCATTTTCTTGTTGCAAGAGTCTGACTGTTTGAGGCAACTAGGTAACACAGTGTTAGTGGTGTGTCAGACTTGGAATAAGGAAATTGAGTTCAAATGCTACTTCAGACACTTACTAGCTATAGAACCCTGGGCAAGTCACTTAACCTGCATCTGCCTCTGTTTCCTCAACTATAAGGTGGGGATAATAACAGCATCTACCTCCAGGGTTGTCGTGAGGATCAAACGAGAAAATATGTGTAAGGCGCTTTCCAAATTTCAAAGTGCCATTGAAATACCAGGTATGATGACGATACTCCCCTGCTGAAAAACCTTAGATTGTTCTCTGTCTCCTCTAGGATAAAATACAAAGATCATTAAGGTCTTTTACATTATAGAAGTTACATAAGTGCCAGCTATTTATTATCGTTATTATTATTATTGTCATCAAAGAATTTTTATTCCAATATGGAAGAAAACATATAAAAAAAGATACTGAAAGCCTTTTACAATTTTGGCCCATCTGACCTTTCCAGATTTATCTCCCATTACTCCCCTTCATACCCCCAATGCTTCAAATAAACTACCCTTCTTGCTGTTTCCGGAGCTCAATATTTCATATTCGACCTTGTGCATTTGCCCAAGAAAATAATTATAGTTTGCATTTATATGGTGCTTTAAGATTTGTTTCCAAACATTACCTCATTCAGAATATGCTCCCTCTTCAACTCTGCTGCATTGAATCATTAACTTCCTTCCAGGTTCAGCTCTGTTTCAACCCTTTTGGTGAAACATTCTCAGACCCTCCAATTGTTAACATTCCCTTTTCCCTCAAATTTGGTTCTACTTACTAATTTCTGAATATGTGTCATATATGAATCTATTTCTCCCCCTTCCCCCTGGAAGAATGTAAGCCCTTTGGAGACAGGGTTCAGTTTATGTGGAGCTTCAATCCAGATGGACGGCATGGCATAGTGGATGGAAATCTGGCCATGAAGAGTTGGTTCAAGCCTCTGACACATAGTGGCTGTGTGATCATGGAGGAAGTCACTTAACCACTCAGTCCTGCTCTAGGCAGGTCTGTAAGATCTCATAAGTCAAAAGCAGGATACATTGGTAGAGAGGGATTTCTCACTAGGAGTTCCCTATGAGATCACTGGTCTAGCAGCTCCTATTCCTATCCTTTTCTATCTCTAGTATATTATGTATTTGGGAGGGGTGGGACAGGGTGGTCTGGGCTGTGATTTCTTCTGCGTAGTGGAATGGAAACTCCACTGAGGAACTCAGAGATTTGCCTGGAACATTGGGAAGTCCAGTGACTTGCCCTGATTCGTGCCTTTATGACTACAAACCCAGCCCCATCCCCTGCCCCAACATGATCTCTGTATAGTAGGAGCTTAATTAATATTTGTTGAAGCAAACAAATGGATCCATAGGTACAAATTTGTCTTGCTAACGTCTTGTAGCTTGGGCACCTATCTAACACAGGTAGCCTTAGGCTTTATATTGTTAATCCGCTATTGTCCATGGCTTGTCTCTTCTGCAAACAAAAAGAGAAATCCCTCCTATGAAGAGTTTGATGATGTTTGTTATCGAGGGGGCTTCAATTTAGTCCCCATCAGTGGGAACTTACAAAACACATTGGGAAAACTGGATGTTCTGGGATGACTGCTAAGTCTGTCTCAGTGGAATATCAGCCTTTGGTGACCTTAGTCAAAAGTGTGAGCTAATGGATAAACATCCCTCATCTCCCAAGTTGTAATTGGTGTGAGATGCTCTAAAGGACTTCGATTCTGACTTGGTATGTAATACAACCTTTAAATGCATCGGTAGTGTAGGATCAAACAGAGCCTGGAGTCTCCTTACAGGGGAGGGAATAGAAAATGCCACAGAGCTGTCTTCCTGTGGCCAGATTTATGGTGCAGCGTCTGGTGCATCTTGAGATGAACATTCTCCAACTTCTATTGTCTCAGAGCTGGCAAAAGCAAAAGATTGATGTGAAGGGGGAGTCAGCCTGGGCTGGATGTTGGGAATACAGATCCTGCCTTTGACCAGGCAATAGATCAAAGGGGCCTCCCAGGCCTCTGACAAGCCCTGGAAGAAGCTTTGCAAAATCAGGGTGAGCCAGCCCCACGTCAAGTGTGAAAAAGAGAGCCTAGAGCAGGAAAATGCATGAGTGCCGAGGTGGAAGGGTCCAGAGCAACCTCATATTTTAGCCTGGTCAGCTTCCTGCCTCCTGGATTACAGATGCTGGGAAAAGAAAAAGGAAAAGAAAGGAAAGAGAAAGGGGAAGGGGAAGGAGAAAGGGAAGGGAAAAGGGGAAAGGGGAAGGGAAAAGAGAAGGGGAGAATAAAGAGAAGGGGACTCTACTGCAATGTGTAGCCATGGACATATATTACACAGCTTAAGCGTAGGGACAACGGTAAGTTGCTTAGCTTCTGTTGGACTTCACTCCAAATGTGGAGTTTGGGAGGTTTGATAATAAATACAGTTTTCAGTTTACTCAATTTTATTTACTTTGGAGAAATGAATGAATGAATGAGAGAAAAATATAACCTGCGGTTCTGTTTTATATTCTTGTTTGTTGGAGGGGAAGGGGATTTATTTATTTTTGTTTTGATTTAGAAAGGAAACCTTTAAGTATTTTAGTTACAAAAGACAAAATATCCTCAGAGCATGCTGGTTATAGCATTCTTCTCCCCTCCTGCCCTTCCCCTTCCTTCCCCCTTCCAGTAAAGCCAAACACTCACAATTCTGACGATCATTATGTCAAGGGGATTGAAATTAACTTTTAAATTGCACTCAGGTTTGGAGCCTAGGAGCAAGGCTGGCCTTGGCAAGCCCCAAGAGCAGGAATCCTCAAGAACTCTTCCTTGGACTAGAAAGGAGAGTGATGTGTAGATGTGGGTGGTGTACTCACCTCTGTGGATCCCAAAGTCTGGCAGAAGGATGTTGGATGAGAAGATCCCATAGGACCCTAAAGTTAGGTTGCACAGAAAGGATGAAATTATTGTGGTTCCCACGTCTCACAGAGATCAGAGCTACAAGCACTTGGATCTTCAGGGCCAGGTCTCTACTCCCTAACATTCAAAAGCGATTTGGATTTTTAAAAGCAACAAACCCCACTTTTGAAATAAAGACTATATCTTATTTGTTTCTGTTCTCTTAAAGTTCTCTTTCTGCTTTCCTGTCCTCAGGGAGGATTGTGAACCATGAAAGTGGTCCACCATAATAATTTAATATTAGGAGCTCTCTCCTCTTGGAGAGGTGGAGAGCTATGGATGTGGAATGTGGCATACACTATCAGATACTGCTGTGATATTGATTAGTTTTGCTTCAATGTTTGGTTTTTGTTGCAAGGAAGGTTTCAGTCGGGTCAGAGTCAGTGAGAAGAACGACTATGGTATTAAAAACAAAAGGTAACAATTCAACTCTTTTAAAAAAAATTGAGATATACACACACGCACACACATATACCACAATACACATATCACACATATACAACATCCATATTCCTCTGTTAGTATAGAAGAATTTTTCAACCTTTTAAAATTGTATTTTGTTCAAAGGGAATTATGTTTCCCAAAGCAGAATTTCTTAATTTAGTGTCATGAAATGGGGAAAGTAGTTGGTTACTTAGCATAATGTGCCGACCTTGAAGCCATATTTTATGTTAAATGAAAGTAAGGGGTAATGCCCTGAAGAAGAAAGTCTCTACCACATAGAATGGTGTTGAAGCAATATTATAAATCGTGCCTGGGCATGTCTTAGATGCCAACCTACGTCAAGGTCTTTATAGTTGTCACTATTTCTGAACCAAACATCTAAGATTTCAAGTGGGACCATTTTCAGATTTTTCTCCCATTCCAATTCATAGGAATGATCTCCTGTTAAGTGCAAAGTTTGGTTTTGAATGTGTGGTGAAAGCCTAATCAATTATGTTGGAATATTACTGGGGATGGGCCAAACATAGATAACCCCTCAATTTATTTCTTGAAAGCAAAATGAAGTCATTGCCAAGAAGTTGCATTGTATTCTACCTCTCTCCAAAATGTAGAATAAAAAAGCAGCATTTTCTCTCTCAGAGAATTCTCAGTCAGAAGGGGATTAGTGGTCACCTAGCCTAAACTTCACCTAACCAATTCCTCCTCTAACCAATCAACAAGCATTTATTAATCACCTATTCTTTGCCACTCAGTCATTTAACTAGTATTTATTAAACACCTACATAACTGTGCTAAATATTGAGAATATAAAGAAAAAGCAAAAACAGTGTCTTCCCTCAAGGAACTTACATTCTAATGGAAATGACAACATATGAACACACATATATGTATACTACACACAGGGTGCCCCCAAAAGGCTTAGAGTTGTGTGTGTATGTTTCATTTATATAGAAAATACACGTACTAAACATATATTTACACAATACACAAACATACAGGTAACTTTACAGGGAAAAAGTTCTAGTAATTAGGGGGTCTAGGGAAAAGCATCCTGGAGAAGATGACACTTGAGTCTTAAAAGAAACCAGAGGGGAGGCTGAGGCAGAAGAACATTCTAGGCATTGAGGACAGCCAAAGCAAAGGCATAGAAAAGGAAAGAGCACCTTATATGCATGCAGTAAGCATCCAGCCTGTGCTTAAGTGTTCTCCCAAGAAGGAACACATTACCTTCTGTGGCCACCCATTCCACTTTGGGATGGCATTCATTGTTAGGAAGTTTTCCTGACATGGAACCTACATCTGCCTTATATCAAGTGTAAATCAGCCTCTTTGCAATTTCCAACTCCTGCTCCTGGTTCTAGACTCTGGACAAGTAGAGCAAATCTAGGTAGCCAATAAGAATGTATGATATTATGAAAAGACCAAAAAAATGCAGATCTCTCTCTCTCTCTCTCTCTCTCTCTCTCTCTCTCTCTCTCTCTCTCTGTCTCCCTTTCTCCATTCCATTGAATGAACTGAAATAACCAGCACAAGATCACAAAGTTTCTTCTAAGTAGGAACAACCCATTGAAAATAACAAATGGATGGTTTCATATATGCATTCTAAAAAACAAAATACTGTTAACAAAATATTTGTGACATATTTTTGGCTCAGGTGAAAGGTTGGCTCCTTCTTTCATTTCAAGGCCTTTTCAACTTAAAAATATAATTTGTGATTGCCTTGTATGCTTTTGAGAAACCAGCTGAATATAAATAATAACTATCATCATAAAAATGACTTATGGGGACCATATTGAGGACATGGCCTTTCTACCCTTTAAGTGAAACTGAACTTGTTTATTTCAGCCTGGTGTCATGGAAGAAGCTCTCAACAAACCAATTTTTATTGGTGAATAGTTATCGATTAGTTTTAATTTTTACACATCCTATGGACAGAACTTGTATCATTCCATAAAAGTGACATAAGAGGTTTTCTCTTTGGAAGCTAATATTGAAGATAATGAGCTAGCTGCAGACTGACTTAATTCATTCTCCACTGCCCCACTCCCTGCTTTAGGTGTATTGAGCTGAATGCAAAATTTTAGTGACTCTAGAATGTGATACACATACAAATCTTTCCTTTCTGCTTGTAAATATTCACAGTAGCTTTAAACACACTTTTAAAAACCTGTATTATTTATAACATGCTCTAACCATACCACATTTCTTTGGAATGAAGTCCTAGGAAGGTTTCATGATATCTTTGCCTTCCAAGGAAGATTTTAATGATGAATTTCCCTCTTGGAACTGAATTTAATCTGGCTTGATTTTGATCATGCTCATTTGTGAAGACTTTGGAAATTCCCAACATCTCTCTCTGTCTGTCTGTCTCTCTGTCTCTCTCTCTGTCTCTGTCTCTCTCTGTCTCTCTCTCTGTCTCTCTGTCTCTCTCTCCCTCTCCCTCTCTGCTTCTCTTCCTCTTGTGTCTCCCTTTCTGCTTCCCTCATGTCCTCCAGTCCCTGCATGGAAGTTCCCTCTCCTTATTGTTATTTATTTGTTTCAGTTATGTCTGACTCTTTGTGACCCCATTTAAGGGTTTTCTTGGCAAAGATACTGGAGTGGTTTGGTATTTCCTTCTGCATCTCATTTTACAGATGAGGAAACTAAGGCAAACAGGGAGAAGTGACTTTCCCAGGGTCACACAGCTAGTAAGTGTCTAAGTCTGGCCTTGAACTCATGAAGATGAGTCTTCCTAATTCCACAACTAGCGTTCTATCCAGTGCAGTGCCACCTAGCTGCCTTTCTTTCCACTTGGCTTCTGTACAAATTTCCACACTGAATCTTGAAGACCTGGCATAGCAGTGGTCAAGATTAGTGCATTCACTATAATCAAAGGTTAAATTCCAAGAGTGTAAACCAGAACAATATGATATGAAATGTCACTGTCCCTGGGCATAGTGATAGGGTTATCTTAGAGATGAGATGTATATCTACTTGTCAAGTAAAGTTACAGACTGTTCATTGATGAAAGAGAAGTCAGTTGTACTGGCTTTCAACTTTTATAGTAGGCCTTCATTCTACCCCTTGGAAAAGAGTTGGAATATAATTTTCTTCATGTACTTTAATCACTTTTTTGTGGAAGTGGGGAACTCTAGGTGTGGATAATTGCATACAATGTCAAGTTTGGTTGACATGTTGCTTAGTTTTTCTGAACTATTTTTATTGGTTTTCTATTTTATTTTTTATTGTAAGGTTTGGCTCTCGGGGAGAAAAAGAGGAGAGGGACATATTGGGAAGTGCAAGTGACGTGGAAACAAAAGGTGCTGATCATTTTCAAGCAAATTTGTTTTCTCTCCATTGGCTATTTATTAAAGTATACTTTCACAGTGTGAGAGGCAGCAGGGCATAGAGCAGGCCTTGGAGTTAGGAAGATCTTTCTTCTAGCCTTGTCTCCAACACATGCTAGCTATGCAACCCTGAATCATTTCATCTGCTGGTGCCTGAGGCAACTGTGACCTTAAGTTACTGAGAAGTTACCCATCTGCATTGGGAGAGGGAGTTTCCACACCAGGAAATCCCTGCAAAGGTGAAATCACAGAACTGGACCTACAACAATCACCAGAGCATTCTCTCACATACTTTTTCATCAGGCCAAAGATGTTGGTGAGGTCAGCAACCCGCAGTTTGTCATGATAACCCTTCTAAAAATGGAATGCATTTAACATTTTGATGGTATTCAGCTCCTTCTAACAACCCAGCATCTGTGTTAAAAATGTCCTCTCACCAAGGGCTAATTAAATACCACCTACATGGGGAAAAAGGGCAGCTCTTCCTCTGAATGTCTTTGAAATTGTTCTGAAATTAAATCTGTGGTAATATATCTAAGTCAAACCACATTGCATGTCACCACATGTAGCTAATGAGGCATCAAAGGTAAGGCTTAAATAAAACAAAATCTTTTATTTTTCTGTCATAAGAAGAATCACCAACCTTGACTCAAAATCAAACAAACAGCAAAAATACTAGGGAGTTCCCCCCCAAGCTGGAAACTATTTAAAAAAAATGTTCTGGGGGTTGTTTTCCATCTATGATAACCTTTTAATATTTTCCACGAAAGTGCCTTTTGTTTTTATTTTCTTCTTAGATATGTTTTCTCATTGGCCCAGATTGTGTGCAATCTCATGTTGAGGGGGTATTACGTTCAGCCCAGGGATTTTTGAAATGTCCTTTTCCACTATTTACTTAAAACCTCTTTAATATATGGCACCACAACAGATAACTTGGAGATAATTCATACTGAAACCAGGACGGGAATATGATTTTGGATATTATAGTTCAGTAATTTACATGATTGCTTTCATTCATTTATATCCACGGTGAATCATGCAAAGAAACAGCTGCATAATCCTTGGATCAGAAAGTCTCACGACATGAAGGTCCAAGAACACAGGGAGATGCGCTCATTCTCTTGGCTCTGAGCTCCCACTTGGAAACCCTGAGCCAGTGTGTGCCTGGTAACCTTCTCCTTCCCCCCTCCCAATGCAACCAGCAC